ATACCACGTTTTACAGTGGGTAATATCTCACTGTGTGTGTATACCACTTTTACAGTCATCACCTAAGCCATTATCATTTCCTAGGCCTTGTGAATAGAATAGCAATGAATGTAGATTTCAGTTTCCTTGATTATAAACTGAAGGGCTTTCTTTAAAAAATATTTAATCTTGTGGGTATGTGTCTGATCCCAGTGTCCATCTATGGCACCATGCGTGCAGGAACCCACAGAGATCAGACGCAGTGGATGTCCTGGAACTTGATTTCCCAGTAGTTGTGAACGGCCACACGGGCACTGGGAGCCAAGCTCTGGTCCCCTGCAATAGCTATAACGCTCTTAACCTCTAAGCCATCTCTCTAGGCCCAGCTGAGTAGTCTTTTTCTATAATTCTATAACGTGTTTCTCTTTCTCAAGTTACCTGTTCATATCCTGAGCTCATCTTTTTTATTTGTTCAGTTTTTTTTTTTTGAAACAAGATCTTATGTAACCCAGGCTAGCCTCAGACTTGCTATGTAGCTAGGGCTAACCTTGAACTCCTGACCTCCCTGCCTCTGCCTTCTAAATGCTGCCACCACAAGTATGTGGCTTCGTGCCCAGCCTTAGCTCATCTTGTATTGAGTCTTTTTTCTCATTTAAAGGAGCCTGGCGCTTATACATGGAGCTAATCCTTTAGTACAGAGTCATATTCTGTGTCGCTTGTTTGACTTGTAGCATCCTTCTGGGATTGAGTCGAGACAGGGGAACTTCTTTTCTGCTCTTGGTCTTGCTCTGGGAAGCTTATTAAGGAGGCTTTTTCAGCCTCTAGAATTATGGAGGTATTTTAGCAAACTTTTATCACTTAAAAAATAGTTCACATGCAATTATTTCAATGAATTAATCTAGAAAGGGTTTATCTTTCCCTGATTCATTTGAAACATGACCTTTGTCATCACAGTAACTAACACATTTGTCTTCTTAAACTCTACCCTGAGCCTATCCCACTATGGATTTTATATTTTCTATTTTTTCTTCTAGAGATCTAGTTTGTGTTTAGCTATTTTATCTGGGTACTGTATTGAATTCTCTAAAGATTGCAATAGATTCCTTTGGCATTTCTAGATAGAAAGTCATATACTTTTTTTAATGTATAGAAGAACTTTATCCCTTCCTTTCTTATACAGCTTAATTTTTTTCTTACTGCTTTTTCATGACCATCGTGCATAAAATGAACACTATCCGTGACAGAGAACAGTCTTGGGTTGGTGTACTCTATCGAATGGTCTGAATGCCATACTTCTTTGTTTAGTTCTTAAGATTTATTTTCATTTGTGTGGTTGTCTTGCCTGCATGTTGTGTGTGCTCCATGTGTGTGTCTAATGTCCATGGAGGCAGAAAAGGGCATTGAATCCCTGAAACTGGAATTGCAGATGTTTGTGAACTGCTATGTGGAAGTGCTGGGGATCAAACCTGGGTCCTCTAGGAGAGCAGGCAGTGCTCTTAACCTCTGAGCCATCTCCCCAAGCCCTGAATGCTATAATTATAAGGAGTGCTGCACCTAGAAATGGAACATTCTTGCCATGTTCCTAACTTTAATTTCATATTGTAAACTCCTATTTCCTGATGCCTTCTCTGTGAGATTCTTTGAAGCTATGGCTGACTCTACCTGCCTCTAGAGAATTTCAGGACTGAGGAGACCCACCATTAGCTTAGGAGTCAGTCACGGACCACACAGGTGGGATAAATTGGGACTCAAGTCAATTTGATGGTAGGCTTGTCAGAAATTCTCAGCACAGCTATTTCCTCTTACCTCACCTGGAGTTACACCAGAAAGGGCTGAGCTGCTGTGCTGGCCTCTGTGGCATTGCCCTGAGGCTATGACCCCAGGACACCCTGGTTCATGCTGAAGGCCATGACCTCACCCACCATGCCTCCTTAACCCTTCTGCCTCCGGTGTCCCTGTACCATTCCAGGCTCCAGGTCTGAAGGGAATAACCCTTGTTGTGTGGTACTAGTGATAAAACCTATACTTTCACTTTAAGCTTTGAGAAGCTTGTCTGTGTATAAAGATTTCTAGAAAATGCC